CAAAATAGAAAGACCAATGAATAGTGACTAAGGCGAACCTCCAGAGCGACTCAGGCCTGGGAGAGGGAGGGAGAGTTGGGGGGCAGGGGAGGTTGGGGGAGTGAGGAGAGTTAGGGAGGAGGGGAAGTTGGGGGAGGAGGGAGAGTTGGAAGGAGGGAGAGTTGGGGGAGTGAGGGAGTTTGGGGAGTGAGGGAGAGTTGGGGGGTGAGGGAGAGTTGAGGGAGAGGGAGATGGGGAGACTGAGGGAGAATGGGGGAGAGTGAGGTGAAAGGGAGGGGGGAGAGTGAGGTTAGGTGAGGGAGAGTGGGGAGAGAGTGAGGGAGAATGTTTTAGGGTACGTAGAGAGAGAGAGAGAGAGAGAGAGAGAGAGAGAGAGGTTATGGAAGTTACACACACACACACACACACACACACACACACACACACACTCACTCTCTGCCCAGGTGGTGACAGCCAAACAAACTCGCCAGGTACGACAGGACGAAGGAGGAAGAAACGGCAATGATGAATAAAAGATGTGGGAGGTGGTAAAGTGAAATAACAGAGGAGAGGCATAGGAAAATAAATATTGAAGAAGGAATATGGTGATAAATGGAGGTATGGGAGGGATGTGTGATAAAGAAGGTATGAAAAGGTAATGTGTGATAAATGGAGGTATGAAAGGGAATGTGTGATAAATATGGAGAACACACACAAAATAATAAATAAAAAAATGAAATGCAAAAAAAAAAATAGTAAATGAAAGTTATAGAAAACGATATAGGAGTGACTTAGACTACCCCCTCCCCCACTAGTGCCAGATATGATAGTATAATAAAAGAAGAGAAGGGAAGAGAAAATAAACAATAACTGGAAAAAACAAGAACACAAAAGGTTGATAAAGGACTTGAAAAATATTGGAAACAACACACACACACACACACACACACACACACACACACACACACACACACACACACACAGAAAAGACAAAAAAAACAAATAAGACAAGATGGATAAGGTGAATGATAAATGAGGGAAGACTGACACCCGGATAAATGAGGAGGATGTGAGGAGAAGGATGATTCTAAAAATGAGGAAGAAGTGAGAGAAAATGAGAGGATAGATATGAGATAGAATGATAACGAACATGAAGAAATAACGTTGATAAATGAGGATGAAGGAAAGATGAAGATAGAATGGAAAATTGTTGAGAAGGAAGAGAGAAGGAATGAAGGAAGAGATAACGATTGGCTGAAAAGTATGTGTAGAGAAGAAATAATAAACAAGAGATAAGAAGAGGATAACTAACTTTAGACATAAAAGAAGAAATTTAAAGAAAATGAGAAAAGAGAAGGTTATAAGAAATAGAAAGTGATAATAGACAGAAAATTAGAAGAGACAGAAAATTAGACAGGTAATGAGGAAGGGAATAAGACACTGTACTTGACCATCTTCACATCCTTAACAGTAAAGTCAAGTCATGGAACTCATTATCAGCTGGGTGGACTGAGCTTGAACTAGACACCCTTAGGACGGGAGACGAGCGTTTAATTCACTCCCCCACCGCAGCCCGAGTGAGAATTTAAAAGTAGGAACTAGTGAAGAGAAATGTGGATAAAATAGAATGAATGAAGGATAATATAGAGAGAAATACAATAAGGTAAGGAGTTAATGTAAGATGATAAAGAAAGGATTAGAAAGAATAACAATAAAGTGATGATTAATATAGAGATAAGATGACATGATAATTTGCAACACAAAAGATACTTGATAAAAATAATGAATCCTGAAATAAATTGAAAATGACGATGAGAAATTGAATAAAAAACTAAAACAAAAATAAAATAAAAGGTGGGGGAGGAACATAAGAAAACAGAAAATTAATGAGAAAATGTAAATGAGGGTGAATGGAATGAGGAATAGAGAGAATGAGCGTTAAAAAGAGGGAAAAGGTAAAGAAAATGAGAATAACGGGAGGCGATGGCGTAAGAATGAAGACTTAGTAAAGAATACGTGAATAAAGTTGAATAGAATGAAGAGATATGCTGATAAAATGAGTAAGAGGTGAAGGTGGAGTAATTGTTGGAGAGGTGGAGGAGAGAGGGAGGGAAAGAATGAGAGAGAGACCGGGTGGGATATAAATGTAGGAAGAGACGAAGCGAGGGAGAAAGGAGGAAGAGGAAGAGAGGGGGATGATGAGGCGACAGGAGAGGACTTAAGGGTTGATTTGATGACACTGATGAGGACGACGAAGGAAAGGGAGTAAGGGAGGAGAGAATAAAGGGAGGAGGAAGGAAAGAGTGGGGAGTGGAGGAGAGAATAAAGGGAGGAGGAAGGAAAGAGAGTAAAGGAAAGGGAGGAAGAAGAGAAGAGGTGAAGGAGAAAGCAATAATGGGGGATAAGAAAGGAAGATAAGAGAAAGAAGGGAGGGTAAAGGGACAAAAGAAGAAGAAGGAGGAGATGAAGGAAAGCGAAGAATAACGCTGAATAAGAAAGGTGTTGTAAAAGACTTAAACGTACAGGATTAGATGGAAGCAGGAAGATAAGGAGAGGGAAGAGGAGAAGGAGGAGGAAGAGAATAGAAGGGATAGGAAGAAGAAGAGTGATGAAAGGAACAAAAGAGACAGTAGAGAAAAAGTAATTTGGATTTATCTTTTATGAAACAGGAATAAGAAGAAGAAAAAAATACCGGTTTATGAACGAGAACTGACAGAAAAGAAGAGAAAGATGAGAAGAAAGAAGAGAGAAGACATGTACTGAATAAATAGGAAAAATAAATAAATAACTCAATTACTCGTTAGTTATTCTCTATCATTTTACTCTACTCCAGCGCCGATAAACCACAGTAGACGGAGAGAGTTGGTAAGTAAAGAGTGATAACAAGGAGGAAGAATAAACCAAGATAACCCAAACATTACTTTATTGGTTAATGTTATATTGAAAAAAGTGATCACCTGAAGCTTAAAGACTTTAACCTAACCTAACCTAACCCCTACTTCAACCTTAGGTGTCCTAAAATTATTCCTCCCTCACTCACCCTCCCCTCCCATAACCCCTCCCCTCCCATACCCCTCCCCTCCTAGCCCTCCCCTCCCACAACACCTCCCTCCCAGTGTTAAGTATGAGTCCCCTCTACTCATTACAACAGTACAGTACAGGGCGGGCAGGCAGAGGTGGGGTGAGGCAGGTGGGGTAGGTGGGGTGGGGGTTGGGGCGGGTGGTATCAATACTCAAGATGGCACCACACACACGAGTATCCTCTCTCTCTCTCTGCCACCACTAGTGTGGGCCATGAAGCACCGAGGAGAATGAATGAAGCACAGAGTATGTTGGATGAATGAAGCACGGAGTAAGTTGGATGAATGAAGCACGGAGGAACTGGACGAATGAAGCACGGAGGAACTGGATGAATGAAGCACGGAGTAAGTTGGATGAATGAAGCACGAAGGAACTGGACGAATGAAGCACGGAGAAGGTTGAATGAATGAAGCACGGAGAAGGTTGGATGAATGAATGAAGCAAGGTTGAGGTTGGATGAATGAAGAGCAGAGGAACTGGGTAATTGAAGCACAGTGGAAATGGATGAATGAAGTTCAGAGGAACTGGATGAATGAAGTACGGAGAAGGTTGGATGAATGAATGAATGAAGCAAGGTGGAGCTTGGGTAAGATGAAGCAAGGGGAAACACTGAAAACAGAATAGAGAGGCTGAAGCAAGCAAGGAGGAGAAGGGTGGAGGTGGGGGTGGGGACGGGAGGCTGCTGGCGCGCTGCCCTCCCTCCTCTTCTCCCCCACCCACCTGCCTCCCCCTTGCTCCCTCCCTCCAGGTTACCGTCAGGTCCCCTTCAAGGTGCCTAAAGCGGCAGGGCCTCGGCCCCTCCCTCCCTCCCACCCTCCCTCCCCTCCCCATCCCTCATCACCCCTTCCCGTCACCTCCTACCTCTGCCTCCCCCTCCTTCCTTCCTCCTCCACCCCCCTTCAACCTTCCTCGCCTCCTCCTTCCCTTTATCTTGACAAATGACGCAGCCTTCTGACACACCGCCCTCCCTCCTCCCCTTACCCTTGCAACTAGTCTTCCCCACCACTCCACATCTCTCTCTGCCCTCCCTCCTCCCCTCCCTCTGTCTGTCTTAGTCTCTGTCTCTTTATATCTCTCCCCTGTCTCTTCATTTTGTTCTTTCGTTTTCTCTCAGTCTCTTTCAGTTTCTGCCTCTCGATGTCTCTTCGTCTTTTTCCATCTCTCAGTTCCTCTCCCATGTCCTCTGTCTCTCTGTCTCCATCTCTGTCTTTCTCTGTGTCTCTTCATGTTTCTGTTCCTTAAGACTCTATCTCTTGTTGTCTTGCTTCCACTGTATCTCTCACTGTCTCTGTGTTTCTTACTCTGTCTCTTTCATCACGTCTATCTCCATCTCTCACAGTTACTCTCTTTCCAAAACTTTAATATTTCAACACACACACACACACACACACACACACACACACACACACACACACACACACACACACACACACACACACACACACACACACACACACACACACACACACACACACACACACCCACCACCCCCCCCTCCCCCCTCTCTGATTGTCTTAAAAACCAAGAAAGAAAATTCGCTTTGTGTTCACATATTTTTGTCTCTTTTGACAAATTTCCGCCAGGTGAAGCTGAGACACAGTGGCGGCCAGGATATACTGGGCCAGGGACATAGTGGGTGCCAGGGTCATAGTGGGTCAGGGACATAGTGGGTGAAAGGGACATAGTGGGTGCCAGGGACATAGTGGAGGCCAGGGTCACTAGTGGGCCAGGGACATAGTGGGTGAAGGGGACATAGTGGGTGCCAGGGTCATGGTGGGCCAGGGACATAGTGGGTGCCAGGGACATAGTGGGTGCCAGGGACATAGTGGGTGAAAGGGACATAGTGGGTGCCAGGGACATAGTGGGTACCAGGGACATAGTGGGTGCCAGGGACACAGTGGCAGCCAGGGACATAGTGGGTGAAAGGACATAGTGATTACAGGGACATAGTGGGTGCCAGGGACATAGTGGGTGGAAGGAGGGAAAGGGACATAGTGGGTGCCAGGGACATAGTGGGTGCCAGGGACACAGTGGCGGCCAGGGACATAGTGGGTGAAAGGGACATAGTGGGCCAGGGACATAGTGGGTGAAAGGGATATAGTGGGTGCCAGGGACATGAGGTAGTTGCCAGGGACATAGTGGGTGGGGACATAGTGGAGCCAGGGACATAGTGGGTGGGACATAGTGGGGCCAGGGACATAGTGGGTGCCAGGGACATAGTGGGTGCCAGGGACACAGTGGCGGCCAGGGACATACTGGGCCAGGGACATAGTGGGTGCCAGGGACATAGTGGGTGCCAGGGACATAGTGGGTAGAAGGGACATACTGGGCCAGGGACATGAGTGGGTGAAAGGGACATAGTGGGTGCCAGGGACATAGTGGGTGAAAGGGACATAGTGGGCCAGGGACATAGTGGGTGAAAAGGGACATAGTGGGCCAGGGACATAGTGGGTGCCAGGGACACAGTGGCGGCCAGGGATATACTGGGCCAGGGTCATAGTGGGTGAAAGGGACATACTGGGCCAGGGACATAGTGGGTGAAAGGACATAGTGGGCCAGGGACATAGTGGGTGCCGGGACCCGGACAGTGGGGCCAGGGACATACTGGGCCCAGGGTCATAGTGGGTGCCAGGGACATAGTGGGTGCCAGGGTCGTGGGTGCCAGGGTCATAGTGGGTGCCAGGGACATGGCAGGGACAGGAGGCACCAGGCCAAGGAGGACATATAGTGGGTGCCAGGGACATAGTGGTGAAAGGGACATAGGTGGGTGCCAGGGGACATGAGTGGAGGCCAGGGTCATAGTGGGCCAGGGACAAGTGGAGGCCAGGGACATAGTGGGTGCCAGGGACATAGTGGGTGAAAGGGACATAGTGGGCCAGGGACATAGTGGGAGCCAGGGACATAGTGGGTGCCAGGGACACAGTGGCTGCCAGGGATATACTGGGCCAGGGGTCAATGTAGTGGGTGCCAGGGACATAGTGGGTGCCAGGGACATAGTGGGTGCCAGGGACATAGTGGGTGCAGGGACATAGTGGGTGCCAGGGACATAGTGGCTGAGAAGGGACATAGTGGGCCAGGGACATAGTGGGTGGGGACATGGAGTGGGCCAGGGACATAGTGGAGTGCCAGGGACACAGTGGCGGGCCAGGGATATACTGGGCCAGGGGTATAGTGGGTGAAAGGGACATAGTGGGTGCCAGGGACATAGTGGGCCAGGGACATAGTGGGCCAGGGACATAGTGGAGGCCAGGGACATAGTGGAGGCCAGGGACATAGTGGGTGCCAGGGACATAGTGGAGGCCAGGGACATAGTGGAGGCCAGGGACAAGTGGGTGCCAGGGACATAGTGGGGCCAGGGACATAGTGGAGGCCAGAGGGACATAGTGGAGCCAGGGACATAGTGGGTGCCGGGACATAGTGGAGGCCAGGGACATAGTAGGCAGGGACATAGTGGAGGCCAGGGACATAGTGGGAGCCAGAGACATAGTGGAGGCCAGGGACATGAGTGGGTGCCAGGGACATAGTGGAGGCCAGGGACATAGTGGGTGCAGGGACATAGTGGAGGCCAGGGACATAGTGGAGCCAGGGACACAGTGGAGGCCCAGGGACATAGTGGAGGCCAGGGACATAGTGGAGGCCAGGGACATGAGTGGAGCCAGGGACATGTGGGTGTGGGGCCGCATAGTGGAGGCCAGGACATGAGTGGAGGCCAGGGACATGAGTGAGGCCAGGGACATGGTGGAGGCCAGGGACATAGTGGAGGCGGGGACATAGTGGAGGCCAGTGACATAGTGGAGGCCAGGGACATGAGTGGGAGCCAGGGGACCCAGAGTGGAGGCCAGGGACATAGTGAGGCCAGGGACATAGTGGAGGCCAGGGACATGAGTGGGGCCAGGGACATAGTGGAGGCCAGGGACATGAGTGTGGAGGCCAGGGACATAGTGGAGGCCAGTGACATAGTGGAGGCCAGGGACATAGTGGGAGCCAGGGACATGGTGGGGCAGGGAGCCAAGTGGGAGCCAGGGACATAGTGGGTGCCAGGGACATAGTGGAGGCCAAGGGACATGAGTGGAGGCCAGGGACATAGTGGAGGCCAGGGACACAGTGGAGGCCAGGGACATGAGTGGGAGCCAGTGACATAGTGGAGGCCAGGGACATAGTGGAGGCCAGGGACATAGTGGAGGCCAGGGACATAGTGGGCGGAGGGACATAGTGGAGCCAGGGACATAGTGGAGCCAGTGACATAGTGGAGGCCAGGGACATAGTGGGAGCCAGGGACATAATGGGAGAGCCAGGGACATAGTAGAGGCCAGGACATAGTGGAGAGCCAGGGGGAACCATAGTGGGGCCAGGGACATAGTGGAGGCCAGGGACATAGTGGGGGAGGAGCCAGGGACATAGTGGGAGGCCAGGGACATAGTGGAGGCCAGGGACATGGTGGGAGCCAGTGACATAGTGGGGGCCAGGGACATAGTGGGAGCCAGGGACATAGTGGGTGCCGGGACATAGTGGGAGGCCAGGGACATAGTGGAGGCCAGAGGGACATAGTGGAGGCCAGGGACATGAGTGGAGGCCAGGGACATAGTGGGGGCCAGGGACATGAGTGGAGGCCAGGGACATAGTGGAGGCCAGGGACATGAGTGGAGCCAGGGACATAGTGGGTGCCAGGGACATAGTGGGTGCCAGGGACATGAGTGGGAGCCAGGGACATAGTGGGTGCCAGGGACATGGTGGAGGCCAGGGACATAGTGGGTGCCAGGGACATAGTGGGGAGCCAGGGACATAGTGGGTGCCCGGGGACATAGTGGAGGCCAGGGACCTAGTGGAGGCCAGGGACATAGTGGGTGCCAGGGACACAGTGGGTGCCAGGGACATAGTGGGGAGCCAGGGACATAGTGGGTGCCAGGGACATAGTGGAGGCCAGGGACATAGTGGGTGCCAGGGACATAGTGGTGCCAGGGACATGTGGTGGGGGCCAGGGACATAGTGGGTGCCAGGGACATAGTGGAGGCCAGGGACATAGTGGAGGCCAGGGACATGGTGGAGGCCAGGGACATGAGTGGAGGCCAGGGACATAGTGGGAGCCATGGACATAGTGGATGCCGAGGACGTAGTGGGTGCCAGGGACATAGTGGGTGCCAGGGACATAGTGGAGGCCAGGGACATGGTGAGCCAGGGACATAGTGGGGAGCCAGGGACATAGTGGGGCCAGGGACATAGTGGAGGCCAGGGACATAGTGGGAGCCAGGGACATAGTGGGTGCCAGGGACATAGTGGAGGCCAGGGACATAGTGGGTGCCAGTGACATGAAGGCCAGGTGCCAGGGACATAGTGGAGGCCAGGGACATAGTGGAGGCCAGGGGACATAGTGGAGGCCAGGGACATAGTGGGAGCCAGGGACATAGTGGAGGCCAGGGACATAGTGGAGGCCAGGGACATGAGTGGAGGCCAGGGACATAGTGGAGGCCAGGACATGTGGGTGCCGGGACATAGTGGAGGCCAGGGACATAGTGGAGGCCCAGTGACATAGTGGAGGCCAGGGACATGTGGGAGGCCAAGGGACATAGTGGAGGCCAGGGACATAGTGGAGGCCAGGGACATAGTGGGAGCCATGGACATAGTGGTGCCAGGGACATAGTGGAGGCCAGGGACTGAGTGGAGGCCAGGGACATAGTGGAGGCCAGGGACATGAGTGGGGGCCAGGGACACAGGTGGGGCCAGGGACATAGTGGGAGGCCAGGGACATAGTGGGTGCCGGGGACATAGTGGGGGAGGCCAGGACATAGTGGGAGCCAGGGACATAGTGGGTGCCAGGGACATAGTGGAGGCCAGGGGACATAGTGGGAGGCCAGGGACATAGTGGAGGCCAGGGACATAGTGAGTGAGAGCCAGGGACATAGTAGTGGGAGCCGGGGACATAGCGAAGTGGAGGCAGGGACATAGTGGAGGCCAGGACATAGTGGAGGCCAGGGACACTAGAGTGAGCCAGGGACATAGTGGAGGCCAGGGACATAGTGGGTGCCAGGGACATAGTGGAGGCCAGGGACATAGTGGGAGCCAGGGACATAGTGGGTGCAGGGGACATAGTGGAGGCCAGGGACATAGTGGGAGCCAGTGACATAGTGGGTGCCGGGAGACAGTGGAGGCCAGGGACATAGTGGAGGCCAGGGGACATAGTGGAGGCCAGGACAGGTGGGAGCCATGGACAGAGTGGGAGCCAGGGACATAGTGGGGCCAGGGGACATAGTGGGAGCCAGGGACATAGTGGAGGCCAGGGACATAGTGGGTGCCAGGGACATAGTGGGAGCCAGGGACATAGTGGAGCCAGGGGACATAGTGGAGGCCAGGGACATAGTGGGAGCCAGGGACATAGTGGAGGCCAGGGACATGAGTGGAGGCCAGGGACATAGTGGAGGCCAGAGGACATAGTGGAGGCCAGGGACATAGTGGAGACCGGGGACATAGTGGAGGCCAGGGACATGAGGCCAGGGACATAGTGGGAGCCAGTGACGCCAGTGGAGCCAGGGACATAGTGGAGGCCAGGGACATAGTGGAGGCCAGGGACATAGTGGGGAGCCAGGGACATAGTGGGTGCCAGGGACATAGTGGGAGCCAGGGACATAGTGGGTGCCAGGGACATAGTGGAGGCCAGGGACATAGTGGGAGCCAGTGACATAGTGGAGGCCAGGGACATAGTGGAGGCCAGGGACATAGTGGGTGCCAGGAACATAGTGGGTGCCAGGGACATAGTGGTGCCAGGGACATAGTGGGAGCCAGTGACATAGTGGGTGCCAGGGACATAGTGGAGGCCAGGGACTTAGTGGGAGCCAGTGACATAGTGGAGGCCAGGGACATGAGTGGAGGCCAGGGACATAGTGGAGCCAGGGACATAGTGGGAGCCATGGACATAGTGGGTGCCAGGGACATAGTGGAGGCCAGGGACATAGTGGAGGCCAGGGACATAGTGGAGGCCAGGGACATAGTGGAGGCCAGTGACATAGTGGAGGCCAGGGACATAGTGGAGGCCAAGGGACATAGTGGGAGCCAGTGACATAGTGGAGGCCAGGGACATAGTGGAGCCAGGGACATAGTGGGAGCCAGTGACACAGTGGAGGCCAGGGACATAGTGGAGGCCAGGAGGGACATAGTGGAGGCCAGTGACATAGTGGAGGCCAGGGACATGAGGTGGGTGCCAGGGACATAGTGGAGGACAGGGACATAGTGGGAGCCAGGGACATAGTGGAGGCCAGGGACATAGTGGAGGCCATGGCCGTTACTCCCAAGGTGAGGGAGGCGGGGGTGAGCAAGTTAATTGTAGGTTAAAGTTCAACAGGGGCCAAGTTTAGCCTCCTCCTCCTCCTCCTCCTCCCTCCCTTCTTCTTCCTCCTCTTCCTCTTTCTTCCTTCTCTTACCCTTTCCACTTTCTTCCTTCCTCCCTTCTTCTTCCTCCCTCTTTTCTCCTTCTCTTACCCTTTCCACCGTCCTTCTCCTCCCTTTCTTCTTCCTCTTCCTCCTTCTCTTAATCTTTCCACCGTCCTTCTCCCTCCTTTCTTCTTCCTCTTCCTCTTCCTCCTTCAACCATTCCTATTCCCTAATCTTGGCTTCCCTTTCCTCTTGCACCCTTCTTCTCCTCCTCCTATCTCTTCATTTTCCTCTTCCTTCGCTCTTCTCCCTTCTTCCCTCCCTTTCTCTTTTACTCTCACCTTCCCCACCTCCTCCTTCTATACCTTCTTTCGTTCCTAAATTCTCCTCCCGCTTTCCACCTTTCCTCCACTCTCTTCTCCTTTCACCTCTTTCTTTCCCCATACTCCTTGCTTTCCCTTCCCCTTCCATTTTCGCATCATTCTTCCTCCTACCCATTCCATCCTCCCTACCCTTCCCACTTCCCTACCATTCCATCCTCCCTACCTTCCACTTCCTCCTACCCATTCCATCCTCCCTACCCTTCCCTCTTCCACCTACCCATTCCATTCTCCCCACCCTTCTTACCTTCACCCCTTACTCCCCTCTTCCTCTCACCCCTTCTCCCTCACACTCCTCGCCTCTTACTTACACCGGCCGCCTCCAATTCTATTTCAAAGTCAAATTCGCATCAAAGTTTCGAGATATTCAGTTTTCAACAACAAATAAAAGACGTTTTAGACCGTGTGTTTTTATACGTTGTTGTTTGGGTTTTTGTACTCAATGCGTTTTTTTTCTTGTTTTTAATGTTTTTTTTTATGTTTTATTTATATTCGATGCTTTTTGTTTGGGTGTTCGATGCTGTTTTTTTTGTTTTGCGTGTAATGTTTTGTTTTTATTTCCGATTCATATTTTTTCTCTGTTCGATGATTTTTTGTTTATGTGTTCGACTGCGAAACACCGAGAAAGACAAAGAGACACAGAGAGAAAACGAGACAAAGAGACAGAGAGAAAAAATAGAGACTGAAAAAGCGAGACAAAGAGACAGAGAAAAAAAACAGACAGTGAAAAAACGAGACAAAAAGACAGAGAGAAAAACGAAAGAACAGTGAGAGAGAAAACGAGACAAAGAGACAAACTGAGAGAAAACAAGTTAGACAAAGCGATAGATAACGACAGACAGACAGACAGACAGACAGACAGAAAGATGAAAAGAAGAATTTATATTTTCCTCGATATCTTTCCTTAAACTCTATGGAATAATTTACATTTCGGTATAAAAATGTATTATAATTGGTTCTTGTTGGGGAATATTGGCCTTGATGGTACGTTAAGTAATTTTAGTGTAATATAATTGTTTATGGTGGTAAGGGGCGCTAAGACATGGCGCCCAGTGGCTTATTGTGGCTTGAGTGTCGCTAGGTAAGGGTAGAATGCGTGTGTGTGT